AAAAAAAAAAAAAAAAGAGTATTTAGAGCGGCCCTGGCACCTAAACTCTGGGGCTCGGACTGTGCAATGACCCAGGCACTTTCACCAAACCACACCCTGGAGAGCCCTCGGCAAGCCCACCGGCCCTGCTCCCCTCTGCGGACACTGCGGGGCCTCAGAGCCCATGGTGCTGACTCCCCTGTGCCACCTGCTGCTCACAGGGCAGGTGCACTGGGCCCGCTCACGCACCTGGTGGAGCCCAGGGGGCCTCCCAGGGGGTAATTCCCTCCCCAAGCCAATCCCCAGAGGCCTCACCTCCACCTCCCCTTGGGTTACTGATTGATACATTCACTATCTTTAGGAAGGAATTTTCTGATCTGATCTGAATGGGGTGCCAGGTGATGTCCCGAAAGGCACACAGGTAAAGGGCTCAGACACGTGAGGACTGGGGTCTCCTTTGGGACTAGGGCGTCTCATGCCTGCTGTGCATGAGGACCCACCTTTGATACCCACACGAGGATGGCAGGCTGCATGCCTCAGTGGCCACTTGGTGCCCCTGCCACCCCTCAGGGCCTCGAATCTCCCCTGCACCCTGACCAGTGTCCGGCCCCTCGTTGACCCCCACTGAAGGCACACCGTCCTCCAGAGACCACCCCCCACGCTGGGATCCTTTAGCTTCCGTCTCGGCTCTGGCTTTCACTTGTGGGTCCGTGAATAACCAAGGAGGCTTCTGTGTGGTGGTGTCAGGACTCAGATCCCTGTCTCGTCCTGCCCCCGCCTCCAGGTGAGGTGGCTCTGGTTCCCTTCTGGGCACCAGCATCGCCCCCCCCCACCCCCACCGCCGCCAACCCAGTGCGGCCTCTAGACATCAGGCTCCATCTGGCAGCCCCTGTGCCCCACCTGACCAGCCAGCCCAAGCTCCCTCTGTTGGGATACCGCCAGCTGTTCCAGCTGGTGGATTGTACGACCACGTGTAGGACGTTATTCTCTTCACACCTTGTGTTCTAGGATCAATGAAAACAGTACAGCGAAGTAGTTAAGCAGCTTCTCTGTGCAGGACCACAGCTCTGCGAAGCTTGAGCACCACAGGTGCAGAGCATCTAACCACTGGATCTTAGCCCAAGGCGGTGGGAGGACGCGAGAGACGAGAGCCATCCCGGGGCCGTGGCTGCAGGGCACGTGCAGCCCCACTTTGCTGTGCGGATCTGGGGAAATCGTGCATTTCTGGTGGCAGCTCCCGCCTAACCCCCTGCGGTGCACCTGAGCGGGCTCTGCGGTCACGCACGGATTCGTGACGCGTCGGCAGGGCCCCACGAGCCGTCCCCGCCCTGGGCATGTGCTGGGCATGTGGAAAGGCACGTGACCGCTCCCACAGGCTCTGAAGAGACCTCGCGGACGGTGATGCCGCCACAGTCTGGTCCGCTACAGAGCTCCATGTTGTGTATGAGCTCTCAAACCTCGGTGCGTCTACAGTGGTGTCACCAGTCTGCCCGTTGACAGCCTTGGCTGAAGAGTATTCATGCAAAGCCTAGGCTGTGAGACGGGGGTCCAAGGGCCAGGGCGGGGGGGGGCTAGGCGGCCGGGTTGGTGGCCAGAGGAAGAGCTGTTTACTGTCACCAGGCGGCTGGTGGCAGGTCCCCCCTCCCCCACCTTGGCGGGGAGGCCACATGTGGAGCCAAATGGGGCCAGAGTGGACATGTGGGGCAAGAGGGTTGGAGCTGCCACTCCCAGCCATCCAGAGTCTCGTCCCTGGGCACACGGATGGCCTTTGCTGTCTCTCAGCTTCTGCTCACCCTGGTCACTGCCGTGGCTCGAAGCTGGCATGGGTGTGTCCTGGTCTTGCACTGGCTCTGACAGATTTCTGGTCAGCAGCAAGACCAGTGCAGAAAAGGAAGGAAAAGGTCTGAGCCACCCTGGTTTTCTATTTTTAAAAAACATGATGCCATATCTGTACACTGGTGTTCACAGTGGCACTGTTCACAGTGGCCAGGAGAGGGAGGCTACCCAAGTGTCCATCGATGGCTGATGAATAAATGGAATGTGGTCCATCCACACAGTGAGGTATTATTCAGCCTTAGAAAGGAAGGAAATCCTGACCACTGCTACCACGTGGATGAACAGGTGTGATTAGGAGTCACTTTTATTTCATTAGGAGAGGTGATGTCACTATGGTATGTGTGACAACGTTCTGGTTTCTTCAGAGATGCAGGTTGAAGGATTTGATGTGAAGGGGTTCAAATAAAAATACAGATTAAAAAAACAAGCAAATATGTCAAAATGTTAACGGTGATTGAATCCAGGCACTGGGTATAAGGATGCTCGTGGCATGTTCTTTCTATATGTCTTTATAGTTTTTTAAAGGTTTTTAAAATTTTTATTTAATTAATTTATTTTTGGCTGCATTGGGTCTTTGTTGCTGCTCGTGGGCTTTCTCTAGTTGCAGGGAGTGGGGGCTACTCTTGGTTGTGGTGTGCAGGCTTCTCAATGCGGTGGCTTCTCTTGTTGCGGAGCATGGGCTCTAGGCGCACGGGCTTCAGTAGTGTGGCACATGGGCTCAGTAGTTGGCACGTGGGCCCTAGAGCACAGGCTCAGTAGTTGTGGCACATGGGCTTAGTTCCCCCACGGCATGTGGGATCTTCCCGGACCAGGGATCAAACCCGTGTTCCCTGCATTGGCAGGTGGATTCTTAACCACTGTGCCACCAGGGAAGTCCCTATATGTCTTTTTTTTTGCAGTACGCGGGCCTCTCCCGTTGCGGAGCACAGGCTCCGGACGCGCAGGCTCAGCGGCCATGGCTCACGGGCCCAGCCGCTCCACAGCACGTGGGATCTTCCCAGACCGGGGCACAAACCCGTGTCCCCTGAATCGGCAGGTGGACTCTCAACCACTGCGCCACCAGGGAAGCCCCCCTATATGTCTTTATATTTGAAATTTTTTACAATAAAAAGTTTTTAAAGAGGGAAGTTGAATTGACTGGACCCACTTTCTCATTTGTCAAACTGCGTGTCTAGTCTGGTAGGGCTGCTCTAACAGAATGCTGTACACAGGGTGGCTTATTATGAATGGCCGAGATTTACTGCCCATGGTTCTGGAGGCTGGAAGTCCAGATCAGGGGCCAGCAGGGCCGGGTTCTAGTGACACCTCCTCCTGGTTCATGGCTGGCCATCCTCTCCCTGTGTCCTCATGTGGCAGAAGGGGTGAGGGAGCTCTCTGGACCCTCTTTTATAAGGACATTAATCCCATCCATGGGGGCTCCGGCCTCACAATCTAAGCACCTCCCAAAGCCCACCTTCCGGTGCTATCACCCTGGGCATTAGGGTTTCAATATATGAGTGTGGGGTGCACACAAACATTCAGGCCACGGCAGGGGGTCGGGCGAGGGGTAGCTGAGGCCTAGTCCAGCCCTGGGGACCTGGGCAGGAACCACCTTGCCTGGGGCTGGGGCTCGGCAGGCCTTGTGGAGTCCAGGACTCTAGAAGGAAATTGCTTTTGGCTCCACACTCATCTTGGTGACACCTGTGACCCTCAGGGCAAGACATGTGTTTGTCTCTGTGACTAAAGGGAGGTGGAGCGGGTAGAAGGGCTTGCTGTGCTGGTCAAGTGAGTCCCGGACTGAGGCAGAGGTCAGGTCACAGCTCTTTGGAAACCGGCTCCTCGCAGCAGCACGGGCAGCAGGCTGACAAGGCGAGGGCCAGTCACCCTGCGTGCAGGGCGGCGCTGGACACTTTCATTCCGGTTTACCCTTTTTAAAGCGCCAGGGTTGGGAGACCACCCCACTCCTTAACCCGCTCAACAGAGTCCGCCCCACTATGGAATCCCTGACAGCCCCGCCCCTTCTGGGGTCTGAACAGGCGCTATTGCATCTTCCCATCCCGAGGGCTATGCAAGTAGGACCCGGGTTACCCCCTCGCCCTGGCTCGGTGTTTCTCTCGCCTTCCTTACTCTGAGAAAGTCCCGTTCCTGTAGCTAAAGGACTGTGAAGTTCCCGGGGTCCTTCACATCCTCTACCCCCTGTCCCGGCCGCGAGACAGCCTGGCGGGTTGGCCCTGAGGGCGGGTCCTCGCCCCAAAGGCAGCGGCTGGCGCGGCCCTGGGGGACCTGCGTGCATCCCGCCCCACGGTCTCCCGAATCCTGGGGCCACACCCGCCTTTCCACAGCCGAGGCCACGCTGCCAGCGTGGTGGTGTCCCCGACTGCCCCAACCTCCGACAGGCCGACCGGCGACCCCCTATAGCTCGCGGAGCGGCTGGGCTCCGGGTCGTGGCGACTGTCGTCCTCCGCGGCCTCCGCAGCCCAAGGGGCGTGGACGCGGGCGGGGCCGACAGCGGCGCTTTAAGAGGCTGCGCCCGGGGAGGCCGGCCCCGCAGCGACCCGAGCGATGGACATGGCCCGGGACTGCGCCGGAGCCCTCCTCAGGCTAGTGCCCCGCGGGCCTGCGCCCCCGCCGCCCTCGGGCCCCTCGTTTCCCCGCCCCCTCTCGGCCCCCTGCGCCCCAGGCGCCCCTTGTCCCCGCGAGCCCCGCATCCCCCTGCCCCCTTCGTTCCCCTGCGCCCCGGTCCTCCTGCGCCCCCTGCGCCTCTCACCCCGGCGCCCCGTGTCCTCGTGCGCCCGGCTCTCCCTGCGCTCCCCCACCCCCGCGGCTCCTGCGCCCAGGCGCCCAGCCGGAGCCCGCGCGCGATCCCTTCCCCGCCTCCAGCCGGCCCCCAGCGCCAGGTGTGGCTCCCGAGGTGAACGGGCGTCCGCGGAACAGGTGACCTTGGTGAGTGCGGAGCGGCTGCATTTCTAGCCGCGACCGCCGTGGGTGCAGACGGGGCCCGTCCCTGGAGGCCTGGGCGCGCGCCCCGCCAGGCTTCTCGGGGTCCCGGACCGCGGTGCGAGCTGGGGCGAGACGAGGGGCGTTGGTGGGGACGCTGGGCAGCCTCCAGGAGGCCAGCTGACCCTCAGGGCCTCGCGGGCTCCGGCTCCGAGCGTGGTGGGCTAACCGGGGCGCGCCCGGGCCTGGACACTCCCTGACCGTGCTGGCTGAGCCCCCAGGTTTGTAAGGAGGAGTTTGGGGGGAAGTGGTGACGCTTTGGGGGGCGGAGAGGGGTAGAGGGGCCCGCGGACGCCCGCCGCCTCCTCTCCCGGTCCACACGCCCGTGACCCAGGCCCTGCATCACTTTTTTTTCCATTCTTGGGTTCATCGTCACACCCAGGAAACCCAAACCAATCCTTGTCTGTAAAATCCTAAAGATATTGGGTGGCAGTAACTTTACAGACTTAGGGGAGGGAACCTGCTTCTCTGAAGATCTCCTTGAGTTCTTTAAAATGCAGGTTTTCTGAGGTGACTGGGGTTGAGGGATGGGGTGGGTGAGAGAGAGGGGAGTGTGATCTGTAAGCTTCTGAACCTGGGTCTTTAAAGGGGTATCTGTGCCAGGCCCAAGGTTAGAGAGAGCCGCCAAGATGGAAGGGGGCGCTGTCTGCTGCTTGGGCTTTATCTTTAAAAACAGGACCCCAGGAAGGTGAGAAACAGACGTTTTCATGCATCTTCACTGATGTGGTCTAGGCCTAAGGGGAAGACCCTTGGTTTCTTCCTCTACCTCCAGCTTCACTCACCCCCCAGTTCCACTCCCAAGGGTAGCAACTGCTGACAGTTTGTAGTGCATCCTCCAAACTTTTCTCCCATGGACCTCTCCGAGGTCCTCCCAGCAGCGAGCTGGTGGGCCAAGTTGTAAGGACTGTGAGGGGGCCCTAAGCCCTGGCTGGTGTGGCCTGCAGCGGGAGGAGACGAGGCCTGAAGAATTAAGGCTGCCCCTGCCTTTGTACCTAACCCTACAGCACAATCCCAAACCCAAAACGTCTCTGTGTGAGGTGGAAGCGACTTGCTTCTGAAATGTTGGCAGATGAGCACATGGGGAAGGACTGATCTGCTTAGACAGCCCTGAGTGCAGGGCTCTGGGAGGGAGCTAGGGACCACCTGTGGGGACTCACCGTCATTGGGCTCCTGCTTGAGAACTGAGCTGCTCTAATTCTTGGGACCCCACCTGCTTCTGCACCATCTGTAACACTTGCTGAAAGGAAAACTTTTGTCTTCTGCCTTCTTTAAAGCCGAGTCCAGGCTGCAGACCCAGCAGCTACAGCCCAAGGTCTCCTGGCTCAGCTCTGGACACCCCGGGTGTCCACAGGGTGTGTGTTGCCACAGAGGAAGCCTGCTCTGACTTTGTGTTCTGGCTTTGATAACATTCACACTGACCCTGAGGTTGTTACAGAGCTGATCTCCTTTACACTTTGTGCAAAGTAGCTGCTTTTGTAGCTATTTAGTACCTCTTTCCTTGAACAAGGAACTCTAGGTTTTGAATAGCTGCCCTTTCAGTACAAATTTGACCAGTCTTGTTAGTGATGCAAGCAAGGAATTGACTTTTCTAACAAGTCGATCTCCCAGGTTACTGATGCTTACTCCTTCGTGGTCTAAACTCTTATTTTAATAATATTCAAAGTGTTCAAAGACTTCACGGTCATGTATTGGATATACTTTCTAGCCAAGCATTTTGCTGGGTGGGTCAAGGCACAGCCGGGAGCTGCCACAGTCCTGCCATGGGGCTCCCAGTGGGGCCCACGTGTCCCATGTGTTGCTTGTCATGAGCCGGGCCCTCTGGGGAGCAGGAAGCCTCGCAGGGGCCAACACTCCTCTGCTTCCTGCCGTGGTGAGACCCCACCACCCCCGAGACTGTCCCTCAGCCACTGTCCCTGCAGCTCTCGGAGGCCCCGCCAAGCCTGATGGATGCTTTCCAAGGCCTGCCCCTTCTCTGCATTCCCATGGCTGGGGTCACACTTCCCTTCCCTGCACTGTCCTTGTCACCCGGCTTTGGGCACAGAGCTCTGTCTGAGCTTTATCTCTTCACCTGGGCCCTACTTGTCCACCTGACGGCCTGTTCCCGGGCCTGCTTTTCTCCCCCAGCGCTTTCAGAACAAACATCAGTTCAGAAGGTGGCCTAGAAAGACGCCTTCTTGTGACCTGTGGGCCAGCTTCGTTCCACTGCAGTGGGGTTCATGTCTGCTGTCAGCCTGTGCCTGTTGCTTTATTTCCTACTCTACGAGTTGAGGTCTTCTCACTCCCTCCAGGAAAAATACAGAGACTTCCTTGTTCCTTCACTTCTGGGAGATACACACCCTCACAATTTTCCAGAATGTTCTATGAAGTCTGACTTTTCTTATCATCTTGATTTCCCCAAACAATCGATTTCCTTGAAGAGCCTGTTTCCTTGGTTATTTTTTTCTGTGTACTGAGCCATTTCCTTCCTGTTTTGTGTGATTGCCTGCACATTCCCAGGGATGAGAGGGCGGCCAGCATGAGGGGTTGCCAGAAGCTGGATTCTAAGTCTTCTTAGTGCTCCTGTGACAACTTCGATGTAGTACAGCATTCAGGGGGAATAGCAACACATTTTCAGCCTTGGTCTAGTGACATAAATGATCCCATTAAGAGGACCAGAATTGAGCTGGATTAATATGTTGCTTTGTTCTTGTACCTGGTTGTCCCTGCTGTTCCTTTCGCTGGAGCAGAGTAATCAGACGTAGTATATTTAGTGTACCTAAGATAGCATTTAACCCCTCTTTACATCATCTATAAGGTAGTCTTGATTATATATAATTCAGCACATCAAATCACTCATCCTGCTCCTTGGAAAGAATGGCTCACGCCTGCAGGGCCTTTTTATGTGGCTCCTAAGCCTTTTCTCCAACAGTGACCCAGTTCTCCGTTGGGAAATGTACGACGTAAGAACAGCAATAACTGGACTTCCTTCTTTATTGAGATCTGCCATGTCAGGGCAGCGAGGAGGGAAGGCCCCGGGAGTGACTGCCAGCACTTAATCTGGTCAGAAGTTAAAAGACAATGAGGGCTTTGTGGTGGGTGGGCGGAGCTAGGTCGGTGGATCACCTGGGGGCTCACAAAGGTGGCAATGAGGAGATACAGACCAGACTAACTGGGTCAGAGCTGTTCAGCCCAGGGCATGCCATTGACCCCCCCCAGGGCCTGGGTCCAGGTTCCAAGACATGAACTTTGTCCTCCCACCCTCCCACTTCTATGGTTGGCCCTAGCCTGTCTTTTTACTCGGGGACAAAGGAATGACTCCCTGCTCTGGGGGGAGGGAGGCTTTTGCTGGCAGGCCCCGGGCTCCCCGCAACAGAAGAGGGTTTCACCAGTGGGCAACCTCCCCGCCCCGCCCCACTGACTCTGACGATCCCTCCCTCCACTCCCTGAGCCTCCCTGGTACTCAGCTGCGATGCTCGCCGTTGGCCTGGTGAGGCAGTGTGCTGGTACCTTTCTTTTCTCCTCACCGCGAGTTCAAATTTCCGATGATGCTACGATCAGGTTGAGAACAAAGCCAGGTCCCAGCTGTGAAGCATTGTGTGGATAATCCTTGCTGCCTTGTCCACCGGGTTGCCAGGGAGGGCTCTGAGTGTCAGCCCAGCAGAACATGGGCCCCTGGTTGTCGTGTTGTGTAATGAGGAGCCTGTGTAACTCCCTGGAACTGGGGCAGAGGTCTGGAGGCCATGTGCCAGGCCCTCCACAGGGTTGGTTCAGCCCTGGACTCCCTCGCTGGGCCACTCTAATTCTGGTGGGAGAGCCGTGTGGGGACCACTGGCCAGGCATAGTCCCCTTGCAGCTGCCACCCTGGCCACAGGCTGGGTGGTGACCCTGGAGAGGAGCTGTGGGCGTCCTCCCAGCCCGCAGCTCTTCTTCACTGGCTCTGGCCAATGTTTACTGCTTGGGACTTGGGAAGTTCAGAGAGATTCCTTATTAACTGGGTGACCTTGAGAAACCACTCTGAGCCTCAGTTTTCTCACCTGAGAAATGGGGTAATACTTTCCTTGTAAGGTTTTGATGAAATTAGTTAATATATTAAAAAAGCCAGCACAGGGCTTCCCTGGTGGCGCAGTGGTTAAGAATCCACCTGCCAATACAGGGGACATGGGTTTGAGCCCTGGTCTGGGAAGATCCCACATGCCGTGGAGCAGCTAAGCCCGTGTGCCACAACTACTGCGCTCTAGAGCCCGAGAGCCATAACTACTGAGCCCGTGCGCCACAACTATGAAGCCCACACACCTAGAGACCGTGCCCCATAAAAAGAGAAGCCACCACAATGAGAAGCCCGCGCACCACAATGAAGAGGAGCCCCCGCTCACCGCAGCTAGAGAAAGCCTGTGCGCAGCAACGAAGACGCAATGCAGCCCAAAATAAAAATAAATAAATAAATGTATAAAAAGCCAGCACGTTGCTGGCTATGGCAGGTGCTCGGATGCCTGCAGTAACGAGGCACAAGCCCGATGCCGGCTAAATATGCGTCACACCAAATTCTTGCTGACAATCTAGGTAAAGAGGTTGTGACACCAATTCTTGCATGTAAGGTTGGGGGAGGGGCTTCCCACACAGCACCAAGCATTTCTCAGTCTCTGACAGGGTGTCCAGGGAAGGCAGATTCTTTACCACTGGACCACCAGGGAAGTCCCTGAACTCAGTTCTGGCACCATCTACCCAGAGACGGCATCAGATTCTACAGGGTGAGGGCTCAGCCCCACAAGACTGCCCCCCGCCCGTCCCCCGCACTTCAGATGCCAGTCGCAAGTCCAGGTTGTCACCTTTGTCCATAAGGAAAGTCCAGTCTAGTTGGAGAAATAAAGCATAGATAGATAAATGACTGTGTGAGATATATATATACATATGTATATAGATGCAGGTGTGTGTATATACAGTATATATATATGCAGGTGGCCTACACTGGCAAACAGAGCAGGTATTCCTAGAATTTTAACCTTCGTAGAGTTACTCTAGACAAACTGCTATAAGTGTCAGAAAACAGTTATGTCCTCACTTTGTGTCTTCTTCAAGGTTGTCCCCCAAAATAAAGCCCTTTGTTTCATTCTCCTGATTGTCACTGAACAAGGATTTGTCCAAGTAGTCATCACCTATTTGAGCGCTGTTCAGGGTTGGGGGACAGTGCCATGACAGGTGCTAGTCCCTCAGGGTCTGAGGAGATTGAGTGTCCAACATTTATCACAGTGGCCAGCACAAAGCAGGACCTGGGACATTGCTGATTTCTGTTTATATTGTGAATAATTTCTCTACAGATACATTCCTGATATAAAAACATCCACTGTCCAGGGTGGAGCTCCTCCCTCAGTGCCAGACTGGTTGCCACAGAGACTGAAAACCCCCTTCCAGCCCCACCAGCAAGGTGCATCTGGTCCCCTCCAGAGTTATTTAGACAACTTTTTGCATGTGGGTTTAAGAGCACTGGTGTCAAAGGTGGTTCTGCATTTCTTTTATTGTTGTCAAATCTTCACCTCTTCACTGATATGCAGGCTTCTCTTATTCCTTCTTAGCCTGTGGCATCTAGATCACCTTTCTGAGGCAGAGACCAGGTGCCTGGTCTAAATCCCAGCTCTGACCTGTGGGGCCGCTCTCTGGTCTGAGTTTCTTCACCTGTAAATTGAGAAAACTAGGTTTTTTGAGGATTGAGTTAATACATATAAAGCAAAATATGCGTATGTTAAAAAAAAAAACTACTGAAGTTACTACTTATCAGCCGTTTTTAATTTACCTTCACTTCATTACTTTTTACTATTTGCTAGGTAGCAAAACTTTAATAATCAAGGGTTGGGGATTTTTTTCTCAGAAAATTGTCTTGATTTGGTTTTCCTACGTTGTTTTCTTTTCCTATGTTAGTTCTTTTTTTGTGGTGAATTGTTAAATTAATTCTTTGATAAATGTGGAACTCACTCCAAAGTGCCACATGACATACAATCTGAAGCAGCTGGTTTTCCAGCCACAGTGATTACAAGGTTCTGCTGTTCCTCATTTATCCTAATTTCAAAAACTTGGTTTATTGCTATAGTGAACATATCTGACTTTTAAATTTCTGGCTTTGTTGTATTGTGCAAATATATAACTATTTGTGTGTGTGCCTAATTCTTTAACTCTGTTCAGTTACTACATGGCCTGAAGAAGTCATTTTCTTAGATTTTTCAGCTCTAAAACCCATGTTTGCAGAATATAATTGTTATTTCTCTTTTGATGACCTTACCTTTCCTTCTCAAACAGTTACTGCAAGGGCTTTGAATGTTCTGGTAAAAATGGGTGTAACGATGGTTGTATTTTTTAATTTTATGTATTTGTTTGTTCTTGGATGTCAGGTACACAATTTTTAATCATCCCCAACCATTGGCTTCCTTTCTTTTAGGTGCAAATATTAAGCTTGTCTTATTTCTGTGTACTTCAAACCTCTCTTTAATGACTCTTCTTTAAAGTAACATCAGTTTGGGCTTCCCTGGTGGCGCAGTGGTTGAGAGTCCGCCTGCCGATGCAGGGGACACAGGTTCGTGCCCCGGTCCAGGAGGATCCCACATGCCGCGGAGTGGCTGGGCCCGTGAGCCATGGCCGCTGAGCCTGCGCGTCCGGAGCCTGTGCTCCGCAACGGGAGAGGCCACAGCAGTGAGAGGCCCGCGTACCACAAAAAACGAATAATAATAATAATAATAAAGTAACATAAATTTGTTTACTTTTCCCTCCATTTCTAGGCCCCTGACATTTATGGGGTCGCAGACGAAGAAGGTGCTGCTCACACCCCTCATGCATCCCGCTCGCCCCTTCCGGGTCTCCAACCATGACAGGAGCAGCCGCCGAGGGGTGACCGCCAGCAGCCTGCAGGAGCTCCTCACCAAGGTACCCCCACCAGCCCACATGGGTCCCGGGAACAAGCCAGTGCAAGAAAGAGGGTCTGTGTCCTGGCCTCAGAGGGTCTGGGGGAGCCTTCTGACATTAAAGGGAATATTGCTGTGTTCCTGTCCCATAAAAGACTTAGGTACAGAGACAAAAACCTTCAAAGTAGCCATCAATTGATAATGTGGCTTTGGTTCTTTGACAGGGGGAATATAGGAGGCAGCAACTGTAGAAATCTGGTTTTGGTTATAAAGGCCAGGGACGAATTGTCCTTAATCTAAAACAGCGTCCTCGATCGCCAAATAAGGAAGAATCATAGACTCTCATCGGAGACGAGAAATGAGAATCCAACATGCTGTCTCTGAAGCGACAGAGATGTCGGCTCTTTAAGTATCACAGATACAGGGTCGTTCTTTTTATTTGTCCAAATAAGCAGGACATTTTAGAAACTGAATATTTTCAGTGTAACCCCTTATCTCACGTCATTGAAACCTCTGAAGAAGTTAGGTCCGTTTGATTTTTTAACTTCTCTTTTCCAAGCAAAGGCTGAGTCATAGACACCAGGTAAGGTACATCTTTACCATTTAAAACCCTCAAAATCGGCCAACACTTCTGGAACCATGACTTAGTTGATGCCATGGATGGGTCCAAACGGAGTCTCTCACTTCACCCCGTGACGCTGGCGTGTTCTAACCTAGACCCTGGATGCCCTGGTTATTGCCAGCGGACTGGTCACGTTGGTGTTGGAGGAGGACGGCACCGTGGTGGACACGGAGGCATTCTTCCAGACCCTGGGGGACAACACGCACCTCATGGTCCTGGAGAAGGGACAGAAGTGGACACCGGTAAGCGTGTTGTCTGGGCAGCTTCTGGAGAGGCTTCTCACCTATGGAAGTGCAGTCCCCACTTTGGGGTTGACTGGCCCACTTTCCAAATACTTCCTTTGTGTTCACCTGATAACTGTATCTCCTACCCTCCAGGGATGCTTTCAACTATTTCTAGGAAACTTGGCATCTTTATGAACCTGGACTATGTGATTTAGAGCCAGTAATTCTGAGGGTCAGGCTTTGGCCAGTGAGGGGCTACAGATCCGGTTAGAGTGTGTGGATATGACCTGTGACCACTCACTGTCTGTGACCTCAGGAGGTGGCGAGCTGACACAACTGGTAAAATTAGGGAGGGGTGTGTAGGTGTAAACACAGTGATTTAGGCAAGCAAAGAGGTAGAATAAAGGGTTTTATTTCTGAGAAAACTATAGGTTATATATCTTGGAAAACACTCCCACCATAAAGCACCTAAAAATGTAAAGCAAAATATTCAAACATCTTTTTATATGCCTAACTGACTTCAAGAAAGGGAAATCCTCAGAATCCAACATTTTATGGAAACCAGGATCCAGAGAGGGAAGCAAGCAGGGAAGCTGGCGTCTCTGCTGTGGGCAGACAGTGACCCCAGCTCTGCTGGATGCTGGGAGGACAGCTGCCCAGAGCTCTCTCCTGAGCACCTGGCCTCAAGCTGCCCCCCTGAGGCTTTAGGGACTGCTGAGTCCCAAACCACGCAAGCTGGAGTGTAGTTTACAGAGACCCGGGGAGGAAGCATCAGTGGACGGAGTTTATTCACTGATGCTCGTGACCCAGCTCATCCCTCTCCCCGGCCCCCATGACCCATGTCCTCATCCCCAGAACTCAGAAACGTGTCACTTTATGTGGCAAAGGGGACTTGGCATGGGGTGATGATCCTGGATTGCCTGGTGGGGCGGTGTCATCACAGGATCCTTGTAAGGGGGGACACAGGAGGGTCAGCGAGGGCGGAAGCAGAGAGAGGAGTGACTGGAAGACGAGCTACGGGCCAAGGGACAGAGGCGCCTCTGGAGCCGGGACGGCATCCCCTACAGGACAGCCTGCGGCTCACTCAGGACCTCCAACCCCCAGAACTGTCAGAGCATGAGTCTGTGTTGCTTTCAGCCATTCACCCTGTGGCCATTGGTCCCAGCAGCCCCAGGAAACTAATTCAGAAGGAAAGGATCTTTTCTGTTTGTTTTGCGAGTGAAATTCTCTTTTACTTAGCGGGGGAGTCAGTTGCCATGTGACAGGTTGAAGCCCCCGTGTGGTGGGCGCTGAGTTGGGGGTCAGGGTGGTGACAGGAGGCTGTGGACGAGAGTGGCACCGATATGGTGGTTCTCGGGGTGGGAGGAGGCTTCTTTGTCTGGTAACAGCCTGGTTGACGTGAGTCTTAACGCGGGGTCTTAGGCATCTGGACCTCCTTCCTTCAGGGATCTTAAGTCCTGCCCCACTTGTAGGGGTTTCTCGGTGAGGCTACTTGACTTGACTTGGCCAGAACTTCCAAGGAGTAGCCGCCAGGGGTCTCCCTTCCTCAGCCCAAAGCCTTGGAGCCTGTCCTGTGGGGAGCAGGTCCTCACAGCATCTTCAGGGGGCTCCTGGGTCCAGATGATGGAAACCATACCCACGTTAGGTCCCGACTTTGGGGAGGCATCTCGATTTTGACTCAAGACCAAGGATGTTGGGGGAGTGAGATGAAAACTTTCATGCGTCAAGAGAGGAGCTGTGTCAGGGGCTCAGGTGGAACTCACCCCTTGATTCTGTAATCTTAAATTTTACTAACGTTTCCTAAACGACAGACACACCCTCTCCGAGGCAGCAGGACCTCGGTGCGTTAGTCGATGGGCTGCAACCATCGTGTGTCCAAGTGGGTGGGGGGGGATGGCGGGAAGAGAAGAGGGGCTCCAGGAAGAAGGGTTTGGGTGCTTTTAGGGGAATTTGTGGTTTAAATTCAAATTTAGTAGATTTTTGTCAGAGAATTTAACACTCACAGCCTCAACTACTCCCAACACCTAAGGTTCATGAAAGTTGTACCTCTGTTTGAATCCTGGACACTGCAGGACCATGTTGCAGCAAACCCACCAGGACGTGTGCCTGGGACATATACCTGGGATGTGTACCTGGGGCAGCTTTGTTCTCTCTTGTTTCTTCTCAAAGCTTCTGTGGGAAGACTGTTTATAAACCTGGGATTTATAGAGGTCTCTGACCTTCTTTCCCAACCACAAGGGGCTCAGGTAGACCGAGAGTAGGTCCCACTAGTGTCCCCAAGAGGCCAACCTTCCTCCAGGGCAGGAACTAGAAATCAGGGGAGCCCACGATTTATCACACGCCACCAGCCCTGGCTTAGCCGTGGATTCTGGCACTTTCCATGGTGCCTCTCGTACGGCAGGAATAGTGTGCCCGCTGGCCGTCAGGCGGGCTGTGGCACAGTCGTCAGCAGGCGGCCGCGTGGCCCTAGGTGACCAGGGTGAGTGCGTTTCCACCTCAAGTCACTGGCACAACTGTCCACTGACCCCCCTGGACCCTGAAGCCGAATCACACTCATCTCCAGTCACTGAACAGAGCAGCTTGGAGGAGGGCACTTTCTTATGGGTTTGGACCCCATGGCAACATAAGCACACTGCTCTGCTGAAAACATTCCTCGAATAGTTAGTGGCTTAGTCACAGATTTTAAGCTGACAGGACAGCTGAAAGCAGCCTAAAACCAGAGGCACAGGATTTGTTGGTCACAGCGGGGCCAGTGCTGCAGCCTTTCTTCCTCCACGGCTCTAGGGTGGTACCTACATCCCAGCCCGCCAGCCGCCAAAGAGACAGGGGATCGCGAGAGTAACCTTCGACTTGTACAAGCTGAATCCCAAGGATGTCATCGGCTGCCTCAACGTGAAAGCCACTATGTACGAGATGTACTCGGTGTCCTACGACATCCGGTGCCCGGGGCTCAAGGCCCTGCTGAGGTAACAGACTTGGGGGCCAGAGAGTCTGGACATGGCGGGCAGCCCGTCCCCAGCCCCTCGAGCCCCGGCCTGACTCTCACTCGTGTTGTCATAAAAACTCTTACACCACAGACTTAGAAAACAAAAACTTGAGCCAAAATACATAGTTTTCTCCAAAGACCAATAAATACGAAGTGGAAAGAAAACCTAAATAATAACCTAAATAATAAATAGAAAGAAAAACCAAATTCCTTTTAAAAGCTAGAGCTGTGCATTTAAAAACCTTATTTCTCAGCAATGACAGCTAAAACCAGAGCCAAGGAGATTCTGACCTGGTTTGTGCAGATTAGCCCCCAAACCTGGATGAGGACTCGCACACGTAGTTCTGTGTTACGGAACTTGAAGCCGGTGGGCAGGAGGCGCTGGCCTTATCCCTCTCCACGCACTGCCAGGTCACCCCTACCCCACAGGCCGGGCCTGGAGAAGACAGGTCCCAATCTGTACCCCAAAACAGTTTGAACAAATTCTCTATGTGCACCAGGAACACTCCTGACACCCGGCCTGTGAGCCCTGCACCAGGGGCTCCCACCCAGCCTTGCTTCTGAGCAGCCAGCTGTGTGACCTTTAACAGGTTACTCAACTTCTCTGAGCCTCAGTTTCATCATCTTTAAAATGAGGAGTTTCCTTCTAAGTTCTCTGATTGCATAGGCCCTAAATACACCTGCTGCCAGCCCTCCATTAATCCGTCACTGAGCCTCTAAAGAAGGGATTCGGGTTGGAGGGATGCAGGGAGAGGGTGACAGGAGCAGGAGGTCTTTGAAGTTTGCCTAGGAGGTGCCACGTGACACCTGATACCCCCTGCACAGCTCCCCGGCAGGGCCTGCCTGTTTCTCTGGGGCGCTGGTGCCCTTCTTCCGCTGTCCCAGGACAGCTTCCCTGAGGGTAGCACGGGGCAGGGTAGTGTGGGCGGGGAACGAGGCTTTCCTCATTCTGGAAATGAGGCTGGTCCTTCTGATGGGGCTGAACGCCCGGTACATGGTCATGCGGGCAGACGGTGGCTTCCTTTGGCCTCCTTTCCCACCCAGAGTCACCGAGGCCCGGTCCCAGACAACAGTTACTGTCCTGCTGCTGGAATCTGGACTGCCCGCCCCCCCATTCCCCAGTGAGCTTCCTCTTTTTGCTGAGACAGGAGAGAACAGCTTGATTGCTTGATTTTTCAAGTGAGGCGGGAGGGTTACAACAACTTAGATAAGTGTAAAGAAAGTGAACCCACCTCAGCAAAATCTTTCCCGAGAGACGACCCAGCCTTCTTGTCACTGATTCTCACCGTCTGGTGGATCTGAGGGTGGTGCGAGCAGCTGCAGGAGGCCCCCAGAGATGAGGCTTTGCCGGCCAGGCCCCGCAGGGACGCCAGAAGTGGAGGTCCCCCAACCAGTGCGGCCGAGACCCCGGTTCCTTGTGAAGGGACGGACCTTAAAATGCGTGGAATTCCTCAGCTTTGGACTTGGTAGAGAATGAGAATTAGAGTTAGAGCCATTCTTTAGTCTGAAACAACACGAATGCCAGGTCAGCCTTGGGCTCAGATGCCCAGGGTCGAGTCGGGGTGTCCCATCCGCCCTAAGTGAACTGGGTCACAGGGTCGCAACGGCAGGTGTGTTGAGTCCCCTCCAGCCTGGGGTTCCTTTCACCCCGACTCAACTGAGTTCAGCAACAAGCTCCACAGCCCCGGCAAGGCCGCCAGGGTTAGCAAGCGGCCAAAGGAGGACAGAGCCTGTGCTGCCTGGGCCGCCCGCTCAGCATATTCCAGTGACTTTGTGACAGGCCACATTCTGGAGAGGCCAGGGGATGAGTGGTCCAAGGCCAGTGGAAGGGGAGCTGCCGGAAACGCTGAGTCCCAGGTCCCACCCAGATCTCCGGAGCCGGCGCCCGCATCTCAGCGATGGGGGGCCGTGCCCTGGGAGCTGGGACCGGAAAGTGCTGGGATGTGGGCTGTGTGGCCCTGAGTGCATGTGGGGGTGGGAGTGGGGAACCCCTGTCCTCTGCCCCACGGGCCGGACCGCCACCCCGCCCGACCGCCCCATCTCTTGCAGGAGCCTGCTGTGGTTCCTGTCTCACACCACCCAAATGACTGGCCAGTGTCTCGTCCACACCGGCACCTACATGCTCCGAGTGCTGGCTGACACAGAGGAGCGGGCAGTGCCCAGCCCGCGCCTTCGCCGGGGGATCACTAGTGGATAGGGGCGCACAGTGCGGAGTCTCCGCTGGCCTCAACCCCGCAGGTCCCTCTCCAGGGACGCATTCGGAAGACGCTGTGTTCCCACCACGTGCCCCCTGCTCAGGAGAGAAAAGGGGCCTGAGGGCACTGCCAGGGGCCAGGCGGTCGAGGCCCTCCGGGTGGGGATGGGGTGGGGGGACGCGGGCAGCACGAGGCCTGCGGCTCCACAATAAACCAGTCAAGACAGTCGCTGTGATACTGCACTTCTTGTCCTGTCTTCTTCGTGTCAGAAAAGCACACAAAACTCACAGAAGCAAAACTCAGCCAGAGATGCTCTGCTAACACGTGCAATCACTTTTAAGTCTATCAGGAGACAGGAGGGTCAGATGTTACTGTGGGGTTTTACGTCGGTCCTGAATGAGCCCAGTGAGCTGAAAGCCTGTGGATCTGAATTTTTGGAGGTGATCAAGCTGCACTGGCAACCTTTCCTTAAAACAAAGCTGCTCCAAACTGGGGCCTGATGCAGGGTGGGTGTGGCCGAGTCAGGAGGGACCCCAGGCCACGAGGGACGCGGGGCAAGCCCCGACCACACGGCTCGGGAGGGGGAAGCGCGGCTCCCCGGGTGGGGGGAAACGGGGCACTGCTTCTAGACTAGGAGACCTGCAGGAGCCAGGTGCCATTCGGATCTGTGGTTTTCCTCCTAAGAAACGCTGCCACAGAGGCCTGTCCCCTTCCTGGCTGACAGCCCAGGACAGTGGGAGACACCACAGCTTGTCCCAGAAGCACAGAACCGCCTGCAGTCAGACCCCTGGGCCCGGACTCATGCTCCCCCGCCCCCGCCCCCATCACAGCCTGGATCCCCTCGGACCCCTGCTATGCCGACCTGACTCCCACCCATTCCCTGCTTCACACGCCCAGCAGCAGGGCTGGGAGCCCAGGACCGCAGGCAGGAGGGGCAGAAGTAAAGGAATTGCAGCCGCATTCCTCAGAGCACAGCCTCTTTTTCAAACAGAGCAAAATTAAAAAGGCATCTCAGGGCCCCCCTTCCCCTCCTGCTCGGCTTCTGGGGGAAATGCAGCGGGTGGGGAGGTTGGCGGAGGTGGGTGGTGCTGCCACCGGCTCCACGGGCTCTGCTGTGAGCGCTTCCCTTACAAGGAGCTCGGCTGGAAACCCTTCCCGAGCCAGGGAGGAGGATGGAAATGGCTTTCCGGCACCTTCCGCTGGGCGGCTCCTGCCTCTCACTGACCGAGGGCTGCATCACTTCCCAGGGATTTGGCCTCCTGGAGGGGGGCGGCCCTGCTTCCAAAAAAGGAATTTTCACTCAGTGCCCTGAGGCCTTGACTCAGCCCTCTCTCTGACTCAGCGCCCTTTCCTTACTGCTTCCAGGGGCTCCCTGGCCTGTTCTAAGGGGGATTAAGCAGGAGAATGTGGAACGGACAGGGGTCTTAGAAGCGAGTTTCAGTCAGAAGAAGGGCGGCTTAGAGTCTGGGAGTTTCTGAACGAGCTCCTCCACGACAACCTGCATCCGCCCATGGGCCTCCTGTCTCCCGCTCCTGTGTGATGAATAAATTGTGTGCAAAGAGGAAACTCTGGACGTTTCCTCTCTCCTTTCTGCCATCTTCCTCTCTGGGGATGCGGGTTCCTTTCTCCAATGATCGATGATCGTAGTTTCTACAAAGGAGCTGGATTCTGCTCTGGCAGTTTTCAGTCAGTCTGCGGCAGGCGTCCTGGGGCCTCGTCACCAGCAGGAGCCCAGTGCTTTCTCTGGGTGCTGCGCCCTCCCTTCTGTGCAGTGAGGCCCGCAGCTGGCCAGAGCTTCCGACCCGCACGCCTGGGGGCTCCCCTCCCAGCCCACCACCCAGACCCCGGTGACGGCAGACAGAGCAGGGCTGGCCTCAGGGCTCCAGAGATGGAGAGGAAGCCAGGCACCACGTTGCCCTGAGCTGCGACAGGTAAAGGCATCCTTTTTCCTCTCCGTGTCCTCAGGCCACATTTCCAGCATCCCCAGAACAGTCAAGGGCAGGGCCGGTGTGCCCAGCTGTCCAGCTGTCACCACCTGCTGTGGGATTCCTCAGGCCTGCTGAGGCCGGCCAGGCCTGTCCAGGAGGCAGATGGCCACATAAAAATAGTCGGGGGCCTCGAGGTGCCACTTCTCCAGCTGTTGTGTTGAGTGGAAGCCAGATTTGGGGGGGCGGGGGCCTCAGTGAAGGCATTGGGGCAGCTGCATTGGGAGGCAGGGGCGGGGGGCGGG